TCTCCAAAAGTGTTGATTAAATGCTTGGCAGAGTAATTGTATGAACTTCAGAACCTGCGGACTCCTAAGTTCCTCGGTATACTTTTGCCGCAGCTAGGCGAATTGCTGGATCCTATGTCAGACGTCTTGCCGAAAAATCGACTCATGAGCGGGGAATGTTCGGGTAATGGTACCCTAATACTTTTCCTCTTTAAATTTTCGATCACCCTTAATGAACAGAGGTTCTCTAGTTCAGTTTCGCTCATGATCACAGCTATAGATTGTTTATAAATTATAATTACGTCTATTAATTAGTTTGATTATGGGCGTATCATTGCTGTGATTTAACATTGTCAATATTGGAAATTTTACAGGTAAAAACGGTGAGAAAAGACAGTCCATGAAGCGTAGATAGTTCTTCTGGCAGTATGTCTCGAAGCAAGATCATTTCTGAGCATATTTGGGCACAAATCAATTCTTGATATTGAATCCTTTTTCTGGTCTCAAACTTTGCTTCTGTGCTTTCTAATCTGTGATGCCATAATTATTAACACACGCAAAGTCGAAGATCTTGGCTAATTGATGCTTGTAGACTATTTATTTTTACTGTTTTATGCATAGACAGTTTATACTTGTTCTCTGAACTTTTTCTTATAGATTGGTAAACCATTCTGACTTGGAAAAAATCGTAACAAAAGAGATAGTAGATCAATGAACGAGACTGCAAACACGGCTGAGGTGGTGCGATCGGATCTTTGATGTTGAGTTAGTGCACCAACGCTTGCTTAGCTATTCATTTCAAATACTACAAGAATGTTTTGCCTTCGCAGTCGTCCAGAATACATCAGAATTTAATTGTTTTAATTACTGTTTGAAATGTATGAAAGTATTCGTAGATGACTAAGTATATTCCCAGATGAGACGATTTGCTCACTGCAAATATCACTCTTTGTAGATGTCACCACACACGATAAAGCATGTCACTTTCCGAACGTCGACCACTTGGATGCGAGAATAGCCCGTAGAAGCGCCTGGTATTGATTAAACCCAGTGGAATATAGTACGTATTCGGGCGCACTACTACCGTTGACTAGATGAATATTGGTCATACAATGAATTTGAAGGCTCTACATTTTAATCTAATGCTTTTACTATTTTCGAGGGTCTGGTGCCAATTTACCGACTCTGTGAAGTTGGTGGGCTCTTGCAGAAGTGCAAAACTTCATTATGGTATTCAAATATTTATACTGCCTCAACGAATGAAAGAAATAAGATTAGTCGAATTGATCTGATCCCGAAGTTCATGAGATCATAGCTTATGTGCAGCATGCCGATATCTCTATGAACTACATACAAGTGGAATTTTTGAGTTGAAAAGTTTTAGTCAAATAGAATCGAATAGAAAAATTTATTATGGAAATGCAAGGTCAAAAAATTCAGCATCCGTTCATCACAAATGCAAGAATTTTTCTGCAAAATTAGTGGAAATTACTTAGAAGAATCTTAGTAAATATCATCATTACGGTTTTAGAAGCGACATGCCTCAAAACGTAGCACGCCAGCGACGTGGCTCATCACTCAGCTATTGAGGCTGATGCATCGCCTCTCCAACCAAAATTGGATTAGTAGAGCTACATTGGAAATCAGAGAATTTATTGGACAAGCTGAAGTTTTGAAGGGACATTATTATCACTTAATAATGCTATATCATTGGAGAGGTTTCTATGCCATTAATTTCAGTTTTACTTAAGAGACCTGAGTGATAGACAAAAATTTAGCCGTAAACTGGAGTTGAACCCGTGCTTCATCCATACCGGGGACGCGTGCTACCACTACAGCGTGGAGGTCATCGCTTACTCAACACTCAATGACCAATGTCTCTTTATCATAGCTATCAGCCATCATAATAAAACAGCGTAACACTGCGAAAAGACAGTGAAAACAGAAGAAATCTCGAAAATAAAATTAGTTAGAAGAACTACATCTTGGAAAATTTCTCATTTTTCAATGGGAAAAACACATCATTGCGAAGTGAACATATTCACAATTGTTGATGGACATTTCTATCATATCATACTCCCACTTAATCATAATTCTGCCCTTTTTCTTGTGCCAGCAGCTCACCTTTAGCACAAGAAAATCAATCAATAATCAATCATATAATTGGTTTGTGCTTTCTAAAGTCAAACATTGCATACGGAATTTCTGATTCGTTTCACAGATAAATATTCGGCTCCACCCGCTGGGCAAGAACATTTCATTAGAGTGTTCGTAATTATTCACAAGCACAAACCTCTTGCTAGCGTGGTACGTGTCCCGCTTTTCGAAAGAAAGTTTTTGTAATGCTGTAAAGTCGCATCGGTGGCGCAATTTAGCTGTTGCCTCGATGGAAGGAAGAAAAGCACATGGATGTGCAGAGAAAATCTTTTAATATCAGAGTCAGACGTGGAGTTCATGTTAAATGGGAAAGCAATTCCTGATTTAAACCAAAAATCGCACTTCCCTGTTGTCCGCCAAAGGGCCAGTTGATCGACGGCCATGTTTAAACTGCCGCAACTGGCCTGAGTCCCTCCTCCACTCCGTAGATTAACCAAAAACAAATGCTCGTGCATGAAAAGTTCGATTTTATTTTCCTTGCTACACTGCAGAGAAGCGCTGTTACCAGAAAGTAAGCACAACGTTGGAATCTTTGGATCCTAAATTGTTGAATGATGACTAGTAGTAAAAAAAGGGCTCTGTCTTGCAAGAAAAACGAGTGTGTTAAATGCAAATGCTTTTCTCTCGAAAAGGCGTTATAATAATGACATTTCGAAAAACGGCCACGTACCGCCAGAAAGTAGCCAGAAAGTTGAGCTTTCGCATGGTCATATACACTCTTATGAAAAACTCTTGTTCAACGAGTAGGGTCGAATAAATCTAGCAGCCTGAAGGTGCCGAATTTTTAGTTTTGGTATCGTCTCATTACACGCAAGCTTTCTAGTGAGTGAAGATTAGAAAACAGTGATAAGTTTCAATAAATGATACTTCAAACTGCCTGCGATGCCAGATTAGCAAAAGCTCCCAAGGTTTTCGATTATTCGTAGATTTTGAAAGGTGCCATTTTCTGCAATGACGGAAGAGACTATTCTATCGCTTTTTGAGTACCACTGCTTCTAACTGTCCATCAATTTGTACTATGAACAATATTTAAATCAGTGGATTTTACTGGACACAATCTACGTAATTTTACGCACTCTACACATTTTCAAATTAGTTCAGCACCGTACTGACGCTCTCCTGTATCTTCTCTAGTTCCCACATCCCCAACTACGCCACTATGAACACGTGTCGGTGGTTGTCGTCCATCAGTACACCAAAGACCTCCTAGTCCGCTTGCTTCCGTTGTGTAAATGCCTCCAATTTCATCAGTGAGCGATTTCTCCTCTGCATTGATTATTTCGCTGCGTTACGTGATTCAATGCAAATTATTAATAGTCACTGTATGCGAAGAAGAATAAGAATGTTTTGCACTGAGGAGAAATTCCATGGAGGAAGTCCCAGTTTGGGAGAACGGGTAAGCAGTGGAGATACACGTTTGTTCATTGTCTCAGCGTACTAAGTTTGTCCCAGTTTAGGTATACACATCTTTTCCTGGAGACTATCATGCAAATACTTGTTGGATTTGTGTTATGTTCCCAAAACATGGTATTTCCACACTTGCTATGAGATATCTCAGCCAATGTATGCTCTATGATAGTTGGATTCTACGATATGTCGTATACTGTGAAGAAGTGCAGAGAACAAAATGCTGTTTATAGTGACTGTTGAAAAGATATTGAATCGATTACATATATTATTTCGATATGTTGTTATAAAATGTATGCAGGGAAGGTAGACGTTCTGGAAAGTATTGCAAAGCTTCTAATCATAAAATTTTCGCGAGAAAGTGACCCTAAATAAGTATTTTGATCAAAAGCTCGAACATCAGTAAAATTCCACATCAGACATGGTTGAACACATTGGTATGCAACTGTTGTTTATCGGTAAGAACCAACAATGTTAACCTTCGTGTCAAACAGGGCTGACTTGCAGAGTCCGATACACGTGACTTATAGAGCACCTGACAGACCACTGACATGCGTGGCTTAAAAATGATTGCGCATATTGAAATTTGAGCTGTCGTCTTAAGAAAACACTCGAAACGAAAGTTATCATATATTGAATAAACTAGCCACGAGCAATCGAGTGTACAATACTCTGTGTTTGGTGAGTTTTTCACTGGACACAGAGCGTAAAGCTTTCGTCGTCGCTAACTCTTAGTGTGGGGACTGGAGCACCCACAGAGATTAGCAAAAGACGAGAAAGGGTAACTGCCCGACTGACGAGATCGTAAGATCGAAGCACGTGTGTCGGGCTCTACAAGTCAGCCCTGTTTGACAGAGCACTGACATACGTGGCTCAAAAATGATTGGAAACCAACAATGTTGTTAGGCGATGCTAATTGCGCAAGTTGTTGTTTGCTAAATAGAGCAAAGATTTATGGTTCAGTGAAATTTTTGGAGAATGGTGGTGAGAAATTTTTGAAAGAACAGTCCGACGAGTCGACGTGTGTAAACTTCATAAATTCTTACTCCCACTGCGTCCGAAAGAGTCGTGTATATAAATGACTTCTGTAAGTCGTGCTTTGTAGAATATGTTTCCGGATTACATATTCATAACAACGTCGAAAGAAATTGTACAACAAGAGGTGGAAGGGAATGTTATGAGGAAGATATAGCTGTCGTCTTATACAGTATTTCAAGACACGTATATGTATGAAAACTAAAATAAACGTGTGTAGAAGTCGTTCCAGTGATATTGTATCTTCTCGTAGTAATGAACAATCCCCAAGTTGTAACTTTCTTTACTTTTCAAGTACCAGCAAAGTCGCCGTGAAGCTCAAGAAACGAACCAACTTTTCCCGAAAGCAAAGCGTAAATTCTTTTCGTAATTCTGTGTTTTCACTACTTTTTTACATAGTGTTATGATGGTAGGGCAAATGTGCCTCGATGGTGCAGTGGCAGAGCACGCGTCCCCGGATATGATGAAACGCGGGTTCGATTCACGCCTGAGGCCATGTTTTTGCTCACCACTTAATTCTCTTAGGCAATTTTTTCGTTAGTAGAGCGTACTATGAAGGCTTTTCCAGAAACAGGTTGAGTGTAAGAATCTATGTTGCTCAAGGGATTCAGAAACTTTACTAAAATCTATGTAAGGTGAGGAAACCACGAAAAGCCCACTCTACTAAGAATAATTCAAATTCCCAAAAGTTTGAAGATATTTCTTCACTGAGATTTGACATACCACTGTTTTAGTAATGAAAGGTATTTACCTGAACAAAGTGGCTGTTCTAGCAATATTTGCGTTGGCTAGTTGTCCTGCAAGTGCAGTGACTCCTTTCTCACTTCCATACTGTGCAAGCACTTGAAGCTGTTCGGTGCATGCTTTAGACAATTGTTTTTTTTTTGGTGTGAAGAAATTGAAAAGAGGTGGTGTGTTAGAAAGTGCTTCCGTTGCTTGGCAATCGATATCATTTCGTAATTCGGCCACAATCGGAGAAGAGTATTTGAACGTTCAGGAATATAAGCTAGTTCTCTCCAAGGTTTACTCGATTGAACCTAATCTGTGACTGTTCATTTGATATTTTCAAATATCGGTCCATCTTCTGCTGAATACAGCACATGACCATGACAATTATATATGCACCGATAGTAAAAAGTGAATGACGTCTGAAAATTGGCGCTAACATTCGAGACATTTGTGTCAAGATATGGTGCCAGTTTTTGCTATGGGTGAGGTAAACCCTCTCGACTATTATTACACGTAAATGAGAAGTGTGAACATTTTATTGGCACCCGCTTGAGTTACTTGTTGATAAACGAAAATAAACTGATACAGGTGATTGTTGAAATCCCTCGATGTTTTTCATTGTGTATAAGCTGTTCATAATAGGCGCTCTTAATAGCATTGATGAGGCACTGGACACAACGCCGCTCTCCCGCAAAGTGCGGTGCGTGCTTGAGATGCTGTCACTTATCATTCTCCGCACGAAAGTGCTTTTGTTTAGTTGAGACGGAACCATTAGATAATGCCCTGGCTAATGAAAGACTTACTAATGAGCGCTTAACGTGCCTTTGTAAATCATACCACAGCTTTACGAGAAGATTGAATATTTTCAACTTTCATTTTTGTTGACCAAAATTTATAACAAGTGTGGGAAATGTCTTACAAGAGAAAGATTCATTTATGCTGAATCATAGCACTCAAAACATGGATATCTTCGTAATGTTGGCTTATTTCCATGACAGTAATCGAAGGCTGAGAAGAGGGATGGTGGTGATTGAGAAATCTAAGAGACGGAAGAAAAAAGTATAAGAGGCATAGTTTCTTTGTCAGCGTTATCTATTCAGCTTTATGTCTTTAGAAATAGTCATTTTCATATAGACCAGAGTATGTATGCGTTGCAGATTTAGTAGGACTTTTATCCGGATATCACGGTATTACTCAACGAAGAAAATTTTTGTGGACATTTCGGATGCAAAGTTTTCATTCGGCTAATCAGAGCAGCACATGTGGCTCATCATAATGTAAAATCTACTATTTTACATGAACCAGTTCTTTCATGACATAATAGCTTACTACCTATGAAAAATAGTATTAGACGAAATCAGATAGTTTTCACACTTCGTCTTGAACTGTTCACAGTTGAGTTGTGTTTTCAGCCGACATCCCTATTGCCGAGAAATGCTAGGTGAACGGAGCGATCCCAAAATTCGAATCGTCCTGTTCACTACTCTTTGCCACATGTCTTTCGACCAATCCGTGTGAATATCATCGTGGTCTAAAAAGATATTTTACGATTATGAGGCAGCATGTGATCCAAGTAATTTTAATTTAATTAAATAATTTAGAAGTGTATTAGCTGCTCATGCTGACGCCCTCCAAAAAAATAAAATAGTGGGATCAAAGCAGTTTTCTTGAAAGCGTGCAAAAGTGCAGGTAGTGAAAGTATTAGACGTCATCACTTTGATTTTCATACCCATAAAGGCTCTCCTTGCTGTTGAACATAAAATCATCAGAAAGTGCACTACGTGGATGCAGATTTCTCGTTAATTGACTTTCTTCTTGAGTTATTTAACTAATTCACAAAAAAATCACATGGTGTCCACTTTTTATTTTTGTTGACCAAAGTCTAGACCGGGTTTGGAATTATCTTTATAAGAAACATGTCTGATCATGACCGAAACACAGCATCGGAGAAATTAATGTTTTGCATGCTATTCACCTGTGTGGTGGTAATGGAGGACTAGGATGGATTAATGATGAGAATTAGGTAGCTCATGAGATGGAAGAAAAGCTTAAGGGGCTTTAGTCTTCTCTCAAAGGTAATGATTCAGAATTTTTTTTACAGCACCTCTCAGTGAGCTTGAAAGTTCCAATGTTAAACTTTTGAGGAAATTATATCTAAAAATGAGCATTTTTTGTTCATAAAGGCAAATAAATTCTCCGGGCTTTCTAGAGTGCAATATTTTTATTCGGCAACGAAGAATGCTAAACGAGATTTAGCAATATCCATTTTACTATTTTGCATGACTTTATCCAATCATGACCCACTGCTTTGTAAGATAATTGTAGACAACGACCAAATAATTACACAGTTTACTTCAAACACTCCACAACAGAGTTCGGGTTCTAGTTGACAGTTGCAAATGCCGATGAGAAGTGCGAGGCAAATGGACCCGATTCCAACATTCGAACCACTCTGTTCACCACACCTTGCCATATCTCTCTCGACCAATTAGCCATGATGATGCTCGTAGTCTATAAGTATTTCTTCTCAAAACATGGCCCAAAAAGAGAGCAAATTGTTCAAACCGTGAGATTTCCTAAAATTGACAGGTGCTTAGCGTCAATTGCTCCGATATTCTTGTTCGTGCTTATATCACACATATTTTGCTCCTTTTGGGTGCATATAGCTGTCACGGTTGCTGAAGACGATGCAGTTTGGTGGGCCCTTCATGACGATGGGAGCTGCAAGTCAGGTTATTGTTCCTTATTTAAAAATTTCTTTGAGACAAAATTCAAGCAACTGCGAAAATAATTTTCGTTGATTTTTTCGCTTATTTGTATTAATTCACAATATAATGGTTTATGTAAAGATATTGATACTAATGGAAGCGCCGCGGCCGATAGGTTGCAATTGTTGTCGAGACCCGCGTGAAGACGGGCTCCATCCCCACCCTCTCTGGCAGTCAACAAAAATGCCCTATGAAACGCCACAGCAAAGCTATCCTCGAGATTGCTAGTGGTGCGCCAAGCCATTCATTTCCTCGGGGTCGGTAAATTCGTACCAGACTGATCTAATGGTTGTCTAGGAGGATAAGCAGCACCGACTCGAGTCAGCGGGAGGTCATTGCGAGTCATTGTAAAGGCCAGATATGCTTTCAATCACCTCAAACAAAATTGAAAATTGAAGACGAATGTGTGGCGCATCCCTCAGGGATTGATCAACGCCTAAAGCTTTATCCTTCATTAGTTGTGTGGTTAGAAAGAGACAGGGCCCCTTTTTGCACAGTAGAATTTTTTAAGAGTCTTAGCGTGCTTAACAAAACAGATCCATTGCCAGTAATCAAGTCCACTGATTATACTCTAAAATCGTATAATTATAATAATAACAACTGTAGTACAAATTGTAATATATGGTTCATTAATCATGAAACGCTAGAGAAATTTTGGGAAAAGCTAATGATTTCTAATCTGTCCCATATAAATCTATCTTCAGCCTCATTTTCAACATGGAGATGTTTTCGTAGCAACATTAAAGCATTGTGGTTTATTCTGCGTGCTTTGTGGTGTATTCTTGGGTCCTCTCTAGCTGTACTAGAAGTTGAAAACCTACACTCTGCATTAGTTGGTGGATTAGCAGTCACAGTCTTGCACTCCAAAAAATCATAGCTGATCTGAACAGTGAGCTGATTGAAAATGCCTGACCTTACAAAATCAGGAAGGCCTGCGCCACGACCTTGCTGTTCGATATCATCAATGATGTGGAGAACAAAGTTTTTTGCAATAAAAAGCGGTTCATATAAAAGTGCCCTCAATTCAGGTATTTCGGACTATGCTGCCAAACTGTGTTGGAACTGTAATGCCCACGAATTTCACAAATTTACACTCACTTATTCTGCCCGAGTATTACGCGATAGAATCGTAGGTTGTGAACTTACTGTTCGCATCACAATACGAGATACAAATGATATAGCGCCATCTGAACTGGTTGCAATACCACCAGGGAGCCGAGCATTAGCATCAGCTGATGCTGTGAAAACCATGGCAGTTGGATAATCTGAAGCGCAACAGTCGATTCATGGACAAACTTGGTAAATTTTGAAATTTGAAATTGAAAACTAAATCAGTTCTCTGAACGCGCCTTTCTATAACTAATTTTTTTGTCTTTTTCATTTCACAACTCGAAATCTTTTTATCATTATATTTGAACCAAAAAAGTTCATGATAAGTGATTAGGTAATAGACGCGATGTCTCCAATCAACTGCGGGCTGCGGCCGAGTGGCTAGTGATGCCGGCGCGGTTCGAAGCAGAATTAATCTTACAGCCTCCCATCTCTCTCCACTAATCAACTAAGAAAGCCCTACGGGAGCGGCCATTCTTGGCATTGCAAGGAGACGTGCTCGGCCAGTACTCTACGCCGTTCATAAAAAAACGCGAAAAACGAACTGAATGATGATTATACTAGGGCCCGCTCAGTAGAAAACTGTGATGCGGAGCGAATGAGGTGATAAATAAGAAAACCTCCAATCACATTTCAGACTTTATGATTAAAATTGCGAACTTTTGCAACAAAATAGGATCTGGCTTTTACCTTGACCTTGTGGCAATACTCCACATCCCGACACGGCCGCGACTGTGGCTAGCATTGAAATCAAAAGTGTTGGAAGCCTCCTCATTTGAAGGACTGTTATTTGTAGCTCTGAAAAAGGCACAGCAAATACTGTAGGCTCAACTGAAAGTAGTCTACCTTTTTTCAAGATAAATTATTCACAAGGCAATCTCAGATGTG